GGAAAATGAAGCAAAAATAATCTTTGAATCAAAGAAGCAATAAAGGAAATTAGAAACTATGTCTGACTGTGTGGTAATGAATACACAGAATACCAATATGTTTGTGGAATTTGGTTTCAGAAGTGCTTAGAGGGAAATTTGTAGCTGTAAATGCTTACATTAGAAAAGAAGAAAATTTTACAACTACAAGCATATTCCTCAGTTGAGCCCTCAGTGTTGCTCAGAAGTCCTGCTGTAATTTCTGTATTAATTGGTTTTCCTGCCTATATCTTATCCTCCGTTTCCACCTCAAACTTCCTACCACTGATGAACTTGCTAATTTCATTTCACTGGAAAATAATAGAGAACAAAACATCCCCCTTCTGCCAAATCTGATATGCGCCTGTACTATGTGTCTCCTCATCCTCCCTTAAAGTGGTGTATGTACATGTTTCTATGTGTAGCATGGAACCCCTCACCCTCATGTTCATCCATTTACCTTCTCTCCTCTGCACCATCTGTTCCCCCTGTCTATGTCATCCCTACTAAATATGAATATATTGAGGAATCTTCCAACTAAATGAACCTGAGATCAGCCTTTACCTATGGACCCATTTCTTGCTCCCCTTCACAGCAAGATTCCTTAAGAACCATTCATATCTCTACTGCCCTCACTTCCCTCATTAAAGTTTTGCCCCATCCACTCTTGAAACTGCTTGTTAATGTTATCAGTGACGTTTCTGTCCGTGTTGCCAAGTCCAGTGCTCATTCTCTGTCTTGTTACTTGATCCATTGGCAGCATGTGACTCCGTTGATAACTTTCTTCTGGAGAAACTTTCTTACCTGGTTTCTGTGCCAGTACACTTGGTGTGTCTCCCACTTCAGGTGCTTTTTTATTAGTCTCTGATGATCTTCCCAACCTCTGTATGCTGGAGTGCTCCGGGGCTGGATCATTGCATTGACTGTCTCATTGCCTATTCCCATTCACCAGTGGTCAGCAAACTGCAGCTCAGCAAACCGCAGCTCTTTGGCCCCTCGAGTGTGGCTCTTCCACAAAATACTGACTTCTGCGCATGGGCCACGAAGTTTCAATCGCACCGTACGTGCGCGCCCGCACGTGGTATTTTGTGGAAGAGTCACACTCAAGGGGCCAAAGAGCCGCATGTGGCTTGCGAGCCGCGGTTTGCCGACCACGGCCTAGGCAATCTCATCTGGTCCGTGGCTTGAAATACTGTCTTTACATGGACACATCCAAATTTGTGTCCTCAATTCAGACCTTTCCCCTAGATTTCAAACTTGTATTGGTGGGTCTCTTCATTTGGACTTCTAATTGGCATCTCAACTCAGCATGTCTAATACAGAATTAATGATCCCTTTCTTCTATATCTCCCCCCATCTGTTAGTAAATGGGAACTCCACTGTTGCAGTGCTTTTGATTTGCCTCTTCTTCCTCTCATACCAGACATTTTCAAAATATGGACCAAATCTGTACACCTTGTTAGCACCTCCACTGCTGCTGTTCTAGTCCAAGCCAGCACGGTCTTCCACTGCTCTACAGCAGCCTCCTATCTGACCTCCCACTTCTCCTCACTAGTCTCAGCATCTATTGATGATTTTTGCTCAAACTCTTACTGTAGTAGTTGAGAATGGTGATTTTGATCATTCCATACTTTCTCCTACATTTATTAGTTGGAATTCTGCTCTAGGTGT